CAATGTGGGCAGAAATTCTTCCCTGTGAGGGTGGGGAGGCCCTGGCACAGGTTGCCAAGAGAAGCTGTGGCTGCCCCATCCCTGGAAGTGTCGAAGGCCAGGTTGGATGGGGCCCTGAGCAACCTGGGCTAGTGGAAGGTGTCCCTGACCATGGCAAGGGATTGGAACAAGGTGATCTTTAAGGTCACTTCCAACCCAAACCCTATAGTCTCTGATTCTCTATGGCAGCTCCAATGTAGGTACTTACTTTCCAGAAGCATTGAACATCCAGCTTTTCCCATCCCTAATGAAGCTGCTGAGTGTTAAAATCCTTTCGAAAATATAGGCACTTTTTAAAATTCTGAGGAGGGAGATGAGCACTGTGGAAAACTGTTTGAGCTAAAAACAGCTGGGCAGTTTTGAAAACTGAGTCCTGGGAATCCATCTTTGACCCCTCTGTGTTGAGGAAGACTGAACAGCAATGTGAGTAAGAACCTACTGCACAGTTCTCTGCACTTTGTGTGAAATACCTCAAATTTTGTGGGTCCTGGAGCCCAAACTGAGGATTCTGCACAGCAATTGGCTGGGAACAATTTGAAGAAAAGGCATGGATCGCTGGCTGCCTTTGACAGTTGTTTTTCCTACTGAATATGGTATTTTGTCACTTACCATCCATGCTGCATTGCATAGCAGATTGTTGTTTACTTTTCTATTCTGCTTTTAGAATTTTTTGCAACCAGTAAATGACTTATCAAGAAAATATGTTTATGTAGAAAATGAAGTGTCAAATTATCCACTGTTTCGATTACTTGGGTGGCTGCTATTTTTTTCCCATAATTGACTTCTCTGAAAAGCCTTTCTTCTCAGAGAGGTCGTTGTGTTGTCAATTGTGCCAAATTGTATGAGATTATGTGCTACAGTTTTGTGACAGAAACTGATACTCATTAGGAAGTTGTGATCACCGTAATAAAAAGTAATGAAAAGGAGATGCACAGTTGTCTTTTCAAAACATGACAAGCATTCTTCTCTTTCCTGTTCTTTCAGTGCCTGCCAATCTGCAGCTCCTTTAAATTACCACTTGTGTATAGTGATTTCTTTATGTCTAACCTTGTGAGACTGTACATTCAACAGGAGACCTTCCTAATGGGTCCGCTGCTTAGGGAAGGCTCTTGGCATCTGGCTTGTCTTGGCAGAGGGGAAGGGAAAACTGGAAAAAAGATCCATAGAGGTTGCCTTGTTTTGTTTTCCTCTGTTGGTCAGTCACAGCTCTGAGCACTTCTGCAGTGGTTTGCCAGTGAGGGAGGTGGTTGGCTGCACACACCAACATTGTGACATTGCAATGACCATTGTCTCCCTGCCATGCTTCACAGACTTACATAAACGTTAATACCTTGACCTCAAAGCAAACAACAAAAGCTGAAGTCAGCAGGTCAAGGGTGGCAGTCCCACATGAAGGCACAGCTCAGACTTCTCTGGCAAAGTGCACACAAAAGTAATCAGGGTTCTCATCTGCTTGCTCTCTCTCCTGATTTAGCTCAGTTAACCAGCTGAGGCAGTAAGTTAATTTTTCTTTGGTCATTGGTATTCAGGAAGCACTTTGGAGCTTTGACTAAGATCAGGGCTCCCTTATTTTAGTCATTGTGTGCATATGTACTAAGAACTTAAATCTCTTTTATTGAGCCAGTGTATTTTGTCTTGCATTGTTGCAAGCTTAGTGGACATCGTCAGTCACCCTTTAAGCCTCAGTAACCTTCCTGTGTGCCTTACCTCAGAGACACACACCCTTCCCTGCTGAGATAAATGTATTAAAGCCAAGAGGACACAAAAGCATAGCAAGGAGAAGCAGCTCACTAGCAAGACTGCTGTGGGCCCTGAGTGACAGATTTAAATCCTTGCCTAACTCAGTCTAGACTTGCAAGGCTGGACAGATAACACTGAGCACTGTGAACACTGATTACCTGGGGGGGTCTTTTGGAAGAGAAGCTACTCCCCACTCTTTATGTCCATGAATGATCCCCATGGCTTCTTTCACAGAGTAGAGCAGTTCCTCTCAGTGTTGAGACACATCAGCTGCCTCACTGCCAGCCCTGAATGTGCTGGTTGGCTGCTGTCTGCTCCTTAGAGATGGTTACATTTCATCAGCACCCTACAAAACACGGTTGCTAAAATACCTTTCCTGAAAAGAAATGCTGAATTGCTCCAGTTGCTGTAGCATTTCAGCTCTGGGAGTGTTCTCCCCAAGCCTGCTCTGAGTTAGTTGAAAATTAAAGTCAGAACTAAGCAGTTAGTTAGAAAGTTTTTGAAAATGGAGGTACTCCTGACACCTTGTCTCACTGCTGTTATTGACAGAAATCATGCAGTATTGAGCCACGACCCGTTTCAGCTGTAAATACTGAACTGGATTAAGTAGACTTTTCTCTCACTGGAATCCCTTCCTATGCATTAATGAACTACAATTTGAAATGGCAGGGATAATAAGCACCACCTTAATCATCCCTTGCTTTCCTTCTTCTGTTTGTTGAGAATCAGTTGCATGAAGGTCAGCAGTAAAGGAATGTTGTGGACAGAGGGTTTATCCTTGTCAACGAGGCTGTTGGGATTCGCACTGGTTTGTACCATCTTTGACCACTGGTGTTCCATGGGTAAGGGGAAAGGACAGCAGTAATTTTTTTCTATTTCCTAGATGATTTTCTAGCGTCCAATATTACATTTAGTGCCTCGCAGTCTTTGTTATTTCAGGTCTCTCACTGTCCTTTTTAGAGGTGGAGAAGGTGGCCTCCTCATTTATGGGGGTCATCTTGAAATGCAGAGAGAGTGGCTAATTCCTTGGTTGTGGAGAGAGTTCAGTCCCCTTCCCTGCCATGCCTGTGCAGCACCCCAGTGACAGCTGAGAAAATAAGCCAGATGTGTGCTCTAGACAAAATCCCAGCTTGCTTTCTCCAGGAATTTGAGGTCCACCCAAGATATCCTTATCCAAAAGACACAAAGTTCTTTGTTAACTTTACACCAAATAGACTTCAGTCTTGAAGGGTGAGCAGGAGCTTTACAAGATAAAGTGGAATTCTTCTGTCTCATTTAGGACAAACTGCAGTTTTATCTAGTTTTTGAAAGAATATCTTCTGGACTTGTCTTAGACTTAAGTGGTTTAATTATCATTTACCCCATTGAGTGAAGATATTTAATAAAGAATTCCTGAGTGTTCCAAATACCTTCTATTTATATAGAAGGAAAGGTCTTCTTTTGAAACCATGTTGTGATGACTTCTCAACTGAGATGTAGAGCAGGGTTATTACAGGCCGTGAAGCAGCTATGCAATCTACAGGTCTTGTGATGGACATCAGCATCAAGAACAGGATGAAATGAATAATGTCATTTATTTCATTGTTTGAAGATTAAGTAGATGCAAAAAGTCAGTTTAACTGAAGGTACATGAAGGGTTGAAGGTCCTCTGCTTGGGCCCGTAGCTTTACACAGGTGTACTGAGTGGTGGTCAGCGCAAATAAATGTTTAGCACGCTGGGAGAAAGGGGTTGGGGAGTGGGAGAAAAAGATATATCCGTACTCTGTTATTCCCAAGATGTTTTATTTGACTTGAAAGGAAAATGCACTGTTTTCATTTTGCCACAAGAAGGGTATTTGGAATGATTTTACTTACTTTATGCTGGTGTAAGCAATTAGAACTTTCTATGCCTGCCTAAAGGGAGGACCCAGCCCTTAGTTTGATTCTAGCTTCTTTTTCCTGACATCATGCAAACTCAGAAATACATTTCCTTCTCTCCCTTGTAGGGACTTGAAGTGTTATTTTCAAAAGACCAATTCAGAGTGATTGCACACCAGACCAGATGCTGAATGGGACCTCAAACCTGACACTAATCTGCCTCATTCACTTTGAAAAAGCAAATTCTTTGTGCCTTGTCCTTTAAAAGTCAGGGCTGAAGTCATCCTCTTTCCCTGCGTGCAGTACTTGAGCTCTGTGGATTGAAGAAAGAAGGGCATAAGAGGAGGATATTGCCAACAAAAATAAAATAGAGCTTTGGCTTTTTACAGCAAATTGTCTGGGAAGAGGGTCTCTTCAGTGGAAGTAAAGCTTGTCCATGGCATGGTGATTAAAGTGCACTAAAAGACATACAAGAACTATTCAGGCTTCTCTCAGCAAATATCCATTTCTTTCAGTCTTTTCTTTGGTGTAATCTAGGTCTTGGTGCTCTTTCTGTGAAGAGATGCTGTCCTTCCCTTCCTTCTGTGCATTCATTCCTATCTGTGCTTTGCAAGAAAGGAATATAATTCATGTAGGTAGGTAGCGCAATATTCTCATTCTTTCTTCTCCCCACCTTTGTTAGGAGATAGTCATCAATTCACTGAGATGCTTTTCACATCAAAATTCACTATAAAGACCAGTATAATCTGTGGGAACAGAGTTATTTCTTGGTAAATTTTGCTGAACCAGCATCAGTGATAGGTACCATTGCAACTAGACTGGATAAAGTTTCTGCCACATGAGTATAAAATAACTTTTTCCCTCATGTATGACTGACTTATGAAGGGCACTGTGATTACAGATACTAGTTTGACCTTCAGGACCGCCTTCAAGCCTGGCATTCTCCTGTGCCTACTTAATTATTCTTAAAAATGGGTTAAACAAACTTCTTTAAGAAATTATTTTAGATGTAGGTAATATACCTTCAGGCAAAAGGAATGGATTAGGTGAACTACTAAGATTTCTTTAGCTCTACTTTTTATGATTTATTGAACACATTAACAGAGCTCTGGAAATATTTTGGCATATTTTCCACCTGCTGACCTGGAAGGAATCACACCTGTAAGAAATGTCACCTCGGAAAATCAGTGTCGGAAATTTGTCCCTAAATCACTGGGTAATTTGAATTAATTCCTTCTCCTGAGTTTGATCAGGAATTGAGGAGTTCTTATTCGGTATGCCTGTTGAGACTGGAAGGGGGTTTGATGACATGGGGACGTGTGATATACTCATGGCAAATACATATATTTTTGTTTAATGCATAGGAAACAACGTTATGAGGACCATCCATGGGGTAGGAGAGATGATGACCCAGATGGTGCTGAGCAGAGGGTCTGTGTTTCCCATCAGCACCCCTGATATACAGCCAAGCATTCACCCAAGCAAGCAAGCCAGCCCTGCAGATAGTGAAGATGTGATAGTAATGGACACCAAACTGAAAATCATTGAGATTTTGCAGGTAATAATGATTGGTGAAATGTTGCATACCAAACATTTCACAGGACTTGACTTATTCACATAATGGCAAATTCTTGCTATTCACTGGGCTGTTCATTGTAAAAGTAACTCTTTGGTATGAGGAAGAATACTTCTCTGTGTGAACAGCACACATTTGCTTTGTGTATCAAATCCCAACTGCCTTGGGCAGTTCCTTGCTTGTGCCCTGAAGGAATGTTTCAGTGTTTTCTATAAATTCTGTGGATCTGTTGGTACCATTTTCACCTTTGAAGGAGCCCATTGGTTCTGACTTCTCACAGGTGATTTAGATTACTTTATTACTTGTCATCTGAAAGGCTCTCAATTGTTAGAGTATCCTCAGTACTGCCTTCTTTGGTTCCTTTAGTTTAAAACTTATGGTGAAGGACAGTGTTATGAAGTAATCACCTAAATAATACCAGTCTTCTCTACTGCTTCTCATTTTCATTTGCTTCTACGACTGAATTTTTCTACTTACTGTCTTGCTCTACTGATTGATGCCCGGGAGGATGATTCCAGGACCTTGTCCTATGCATTCCCTGAGAGAATCACATTTTGTCTCATCCTTTCTTTTTCCACAGCACATTCAGTGCAAGAGCACCTAGGATTGGAGAGTGTTTAATCCTAATTTGTTACTTAACCTGTGGTTTGTTGGTTATGGATTTTAGTCACATGGTCAAATTACTGCACATTAGCAAGTTTTCATATGCTGGGTAAATCACAGTAAATGTGCATATATATGATCCTAGTTCACAAGAAATACAAAATAATTCAATTTCCTTTAATATGCAATGAAGGAGGATTAATTTAAATCATGTTACCATTCATTATTACTCTTAAAGTATATTTTAGATTTATTGTATTATTGTACATAGCTAGTACAATGGTGATTAAAGCAATTCTATTCTAAGAAATATTTCAGTTTATAATAATTTAATTCCCAATCTATCCTCCTACTGCTTTAAGTAAAGGCTTTTTTACTTATGAGTTTCCATTCTGCCCTCAGCCAGAATTAAACAGATGGCCTGAGAGACGTAGTTGACTATGTGTGGACTTGGAAAATTCTTAGTTTTAAAAATCTTACTTGTGCAATTACAGGGTAACTTAATCATGGAAAATAAACAAATCCTATTGCAGTGGGTCTGGGAAGTATGTTTGACTTTAGTTATAAACCAAAGAAACAGGTTGCCACCATTTGTCACCTTTCAGATGACGTGTCACCTCAGCCTTGGTAAAGAAACATGTGCTTTCATCTCCACTGATTATAAAATGCGTTAAATGCTCTTAAAGCTGTTTGACTGTGTGCTTGCATTTCCTGTGGGCAGGGAGCATCCCTGTGGGATACACTGGAAGTCAGTTGATGGGCAGTCAGTTCTCCAAGTGACTTAAATCAGTATTAGTGTTTCCAGCCTGGCTATTTGCCTCCCTTTTACCATGTAAAAGTAGCACTTCCAGCTCTGAATTAGGATTTTTCCTGTATGGCTTTCCATTTCCACAGCTGAGCAACAGAAGGGCAGCTGTCAGGCAACTGGGAGGATGACCCTTGAGCCTGTCTTTGCTCTCTGCCCCACTTCTTGTCTTTATGGGGCATTGGAAGTGCAGCTGAAATGTGAAATAATTGGTGTCAACATGGATTGACAGAAGAAAAGTCTTTTTTAAAACTTCTTTTTTTTTTCCCATGTAGTTTATTCTCAGTGTCAGACTGGACTATAGAATATCCTACATGCTGTCTATCTATAAGAGAGAGTTTGGGGAAAACAATGAAAACGCTGATTGCTCCACAACATCCCCACCTGACACACCAGGGACTGCCTCAGGTAAATGTTGCTGTTGTGTTACAGTATAAAATAATTCCATGTAGAATTAGACTGCAAAAAATGAGTTTAATGACACCAGAAAGACGCATGCTGCTTGAAGTGGAAAAGCTTGTGGAAAAAAGAAAATTTTAAGGAATTCCATGAAAATAAGATTTTTGCTGGCCTCTCCTAACAGAAATGTGATTCCTTTTTCCCATTGTGACATTTTGTTCTCTTATTTGTGCTCTTCCCAAAACGCTGCACAGTGACAAATGGAGTGGAGGGTAGATCAGGAAGAATGGTTGGGGTTGGATGAGGACAGATTTAAGTGAGGTGAATGTGGTACAGGAATGTAAGTGACTTTTCAGGGAGCCTTCCCATGCTCATGGAAGTGCTGAAAAGGTCTGTGTGAACACCTGGAAGTAGGGGAGAATTGCTCTAATTGGAGGTGGACACATATATAATACTGGGTAGTAAGTTATATTAAAGGTATTCTAAAGGAAAATGTCAGTGTGGTAAATAATTTTGTTTATGATAAATATTCTAAAATTCATGTATGTACTTTAGAGGGGTTGGCTTATCTAATAAAAAAGGTATAAGTTTTAATAATCTCTGTCATTTGTGGCTCACTGCTGGCGGTTAGTACAGCTCTTTGCACCGTGTGGCTGTGGTTCATCTCTACAATTTGGCCCTTCCTCAGTAACAGTAAAACAAAATTTAACTCTGCCCCATGTCCTGTTTCTTCCCTGCTACTCTTGCAGACAGCGAATTTTGCCTAGTTGAGGAACGACTAGTTAGACCTTTACTTCATACCATCTGCTTTAAAGAGGAATAGAGTTCCATTTGGAACAGATTAAACAGTAATCACAGGCTTTTTTTTCTTTTAATATTTATTTTGAATTTTTTTCCCCAGCAATCGTTCCTGACATAGATGAAATTGCAGCTCAAGCTGAAACCATGTTTGCTGGCAGGTACATTCTCTGAAGCTCTACCTCTGTGTGTATATATCTGTTTGTTCCTGTTGGTATTTCTCATGGACAGCCTCTCTTTATTCTGTGCCTGTTTTCACACCCCTTTCTCTCCCTTTGGCTGTTTGTTATTGTATAACCTGTACATAGACAGGGTCCCCTGGTGGTCTAGTGGTTAGGATGCAGCACTCTCACCGCTGTGGCCCGGGTTCGATTCCCGGTCAAGGAAACTCCCCGGGCAGATGGAGCTCGTCAGCCCTGTAAGGCAATCCATCTAAGAGAAGGTCACTCTAAACAAACCTACGTCCTGAGAACCTCACTGCCACTGTCCAAGCTTGCTCGGCCCCGGCAGATGAACCTCAGGATTAAAGGGTGGGCTCAGTTCAGCACACACTGTGTCTCACCTAAAAAATCCACTGCGCAGGCTCGAAGGGTTAATGACCTTTCCCAAATCTTTGCTCGCGAAGACTGGCCATACCTACCTACACAGACAGAAAAGACCTGGATTTCAAACAAGGAAACAGCTCAGTTGGTCTGGATGGCTGTGGGATTGGAAATGACCATCCTCTTAGTTGTAAGAGAGTTGGTAGAAAGTTTTTTGCCATGTTCCCAAAGGCAGCTGGGAAATGATGTACAGGAGTATGGGCTAAAACAGTAATTATTTATTTATCTTATAATGCCTCACCCAGGTGCTCCTAAAGAAAGCCTTTTTTTTCCTAGTATACCTTCTGACTGTAGCCCCAAATGTCTTGGATCAGTAGGTTACTGCTGACCCTCAGTTTTTCTCCTAGACCTGTAGTAATTGCACTTTTTGTTTGAACCTATTAAAAAAATTATGTCAACAATAATCTCTTTCCAATGACTCCTCAAATTAGGAGTGGACCGCTTCCTTCTGGACCACCAGAGGCCTGTACATCACAACTTATGCTTGCAGAGTTTGGGAAGAGATTTCAGCTACACTGTGAACAGGGGAAAAAAAAAAAGCATGGAAAACACTCACACTGGAGAGTTATTACCATTATCACTATATTGGTTTAATTTTATGAGTATAATTATACCAGTAAAAATTAATTCCATTTAGACAAGGCCATAGACTTTAAAGTTTTTCTTGGAGCTAGGGAGAAGGATCTGCAATGTCGGCACTGTGATCTTACCTCTCTCAGTCTCTTATGCCTTCTCAGTCTTTACCAGCAGAAGCAATGCCTTCAAGTCGTCTCCCTGAACTCCCATAATGTAAAACAACACACAGCCTTTGGCATCTGCATCTTTAAAATGAACAGAGAGACCGAATAGTTTCTTGGAAACATTACTTCTGCTTTGATATGTTAAGTGTTAATCTGCTTTCTGCCGTTTCACTTTATGAATATGATTCCAGAAATATGATGCTTTTGGCAATTCTTGCTATTTTTGATCTTATTTTTTCTTAAATGAAATTTTAATAGCAGCTGAAAAAGGAAGAAGTGAAAAGAAAAGGGTCAAATTAATCTCTTGTGAAATGCAGTTTACTTCATTTAATTTGGATTGGGGATGAGCTTGGCACAACTTACGCAAAACATAAATTAATGTTTTTGCAATATGGATTTTAATCACAATATTTGACACATTTCACATATACTTCCTTGCATTCCATAGTGTCCATTCTGCTACAAGATTGCTGCAACAGCACATAACTGCAGGATTCAAGTCCTTATAAAATATGTTAAAGTGATATGTTAAAGCAATTTCCTTCCTGCAGCTGATTTCATTTGATTTTAAGAGGTCTGTCAAATGAAGGTTGCATATGCAGGGATATTTATGTATAAGGCTTTAATTTTTTCTGATTTATTTTACTTTATTGGGTGCTTTCCCCCCTCATTTTTCTTGCAGAAAAGAGAAGAATGCAGTTCAGCTGGACGATGAAGGGGGCAGAACTTTCTTGAGGGTCCTCATTCACCTCATCATGCATGACTACCCTCCATTGCTCTCAGGTGCTCTGCACCTCCTATTTAAGCACTTCAGCCAGAGAGCAGAAGTTCTGCAAGCATTTAAACAGGTATGGATGGGCACAGTGTTATTCCAGGAAACTGGAATGCAGGGAGACTTTCCAAAGCTTTGCCACCTAAACTGCTGGTTGTTGCAAGATGGTGTAGTTTCCTTAGAGGTCCAGTATCAGCAGACTTCTTTGACTATATATGTGCTGGTGTATATTAGAGTTGTGCACCCAGAAATAGTTCTTTCTGTGCACCCAGAAATGGTTATTTCTGGCATTGCATCCACTAGGGAAAATGCGGGTCCATGGTGAGCATCTCACAGGATGTAGTGATCCCTCAGGGACAGAGTCAGTGCCTCGTGTGTGGCAAGCAGGGCACAGGTGTTGGCAGTAAGACTTTCCCATCCTCAGAGCTGCTTAGGCTGGGGATAAAGCTCTTTTGTTATCCATGTGGTGTTTCTAGCTTTAATTCAGGTGTCTTTGCACCGTGCTCTGCCATCTGATAGAGGTATGCCCAAATAACAGGAAGGCAGTAATAGAGCCAAGCCTGTTTCCAGCTTTTGTTCTTCCCCTTTGATAACGGTGCATGTGCAGGCTCCATGTGTCAGGGGATTAGGATGGGGAGATCTGATGTCATGGGGCTGGGTGACAGAGACATCTCTGTTATGTAACCCTTCAGAACATATGTTGATAAGACCATCTGATGCTTATTTCAGGAGCTTGATAGCCTGTTGTCTCATCGTTATGTAAGATGTTCCTCTTGTTTAAAAGTAGATGAATGATACAGACCTGAAAAGCTTTTGTTGAATGTTTTTGTTGTGCAGCATAATGGCCTCCCACCCAAAGTTAGGCCTTGCTAGTTAGTGGCAAGGTAAGCAAGCACTGAGTTGCTTAACATGTTTTTGTAAAGGAAAAGGCTAATTGAGAAATAAACAAAAAAACCCTGCAGTGAACATGGAATATGAATGTCTGCAGATGAGCAGCATTCATAAATTCTGTAAAATAATAAGGTTTTGCCAAGCCAAGAGAGATGATGATGAAAACTTTGTTACACAATAGTGAATATCTGCCTGCATGTAATGCTCTGGGGTTTTTTTTTAAAAAATATACTTATCAGTGTTCTTGTTTACCATGTGACCTTAATCTTTTACATAAGTACAATTTCTTAATAGTGATTATTGATTTACTGTAAAGATTCTTGTTAGTTTTTTTTAATATTATCTTCATTAATAATCTTGGTCCAACAGAGAGTGTTCCAAAGAAAGAAAATGTGTAGGTCATGCTAAATCAAGAGCTGCAAATAACTGACAAAACCTAGATAACTTGAGCAGTACAAAAATAAAAGGTAAAAATGAGATTAATCTTAGAGGCATCCACTCAGATAGTGAGAAATTACATGAACCTGGAAGTCAGTTTGTCAGCTGTATTGAAATAAGTCTTTCTACTCTGACCTAACAGTTATTTTTCAATATTTGATCATGGTGATGTAGGTGATCATTTAAGTTGCTGGCCATTCTAACTTTTCTTTGGATGCCCTGATTCCTTGTCCAATCATCCTTTTTTGGTCTTTTTCTTTTGAAGTACTGTGCTGCAGGATTAGCTATTTCTGATGGTAGATGCTTTAATAGCATGTAACTATTGTTTTAATGCTGTGAGGATCATAATCAGTGCATCAGAGCTTGCTCTGAGCTTGTAAACTGCATATGCTGAAAATGTTTTGCAGTGTATTAAAGAAGGTGAGAGAATGTTGTGAATGTTATAACTATCCTGTTTTGGGCAACTCCAGTCTCTGGCTCTGCTGAAGGTTTTGGGTGAATGGGGGCCAAAAGCCTGTGTGTGCCATGTTTCTATTTCATAGAGGAGGTTGCATAAAGCACCTTAAAAGAGAGGCTTAGAAAGGGAACTGTTGAGCAAATTACTGTGCTGGTTTAAAGGTAAACCAGCAGGGGAAATGAACTCAACTCAAAAGAGAGACTGTAAGTCAGAATAACAATTTAATAAAATAATATAATAAGTACGATTATACAGACAAACAATTGGTTTTAACCCACAAAACCCAAATGTATAACCCAGCACCCTGGGGCATGAACAGAGTCGTGTTCTTTGGGCCCCCTGAGTCCAAAGGAAAAGGAGAGGGAAAAAACCTGTTGGTGAGAGTGCTGTTGCAGTCTGGTTGAAAAGTGGTGGTTGCAGTCCAGTCGAGAGTGGTGGTCTGCGGTCTGGTTGAGAGTGGTGATCTGCAGTCTTCCTCTGGATCCCACGAGTGGTTAAAAAGGTCCCAAGACTCCAAGATTATATATCCTCTAGTTCAGGCAGGAATGCTCAGTACCTCCCTCAGGGTGGGGGGTTCCTTAATGGGTGTGAGGACAAGAGCAACTCCTATCTCACAGGCCTCTTAGCACCTAGTTTATAGCCTGAGGAGTCAGGCTCTATGTGCAGATAGTGTAAATGGTTCATTGATAACCATTTCTGGGAAATGGCATGGAAGGCTATAGAATACACAGTTTTGGGTTACACCCATCCAGTGATGAACTGGTCTCAGCTGTCCTAACTAGGACAATTACCCAGGCATAAATGCTGGTGCTGCTGCTGTAATAGCTTTCCAATTTTCTCTATTTCCAGGTTCAGTTGCTGGTGTCCAATCAAGATGTGGATAACTACAAGCAAATCAAGGCTGATCTTGATCAGCTCCGCCTGACTGTGGAAAAATCAGAATTGTGGGTTGAGAAGAGCAGCAATTATGAGAGTGGAGAGGTGGGCGACAATCAGACCAAAGGGGGAGAGGAGCCACTGGAGGTGAGTTTAAAGCCTTTGCTGTCAGAGTTGTTTCAATATTGGTCGGTAGTTGCATGAACAGCTGCAAAACTGTGGTCTGGTTAACCAAAGTAGCAAAGTGAGAATGTGCAGAATTCTGGCTGAGCTTTAGGAATAGGCAGAAAAGGAAATAAAACCTCTTTTATCAGTGTGTTCAGTATTTTTTCCTGCTGCTTTCAGTAACTGTGTTCTTATGTCCCAGAGCTGCCTTCCTTGCTGGATAAGGGAGCAAACCACAATGTGTGGCAACACTCCGTAGCCAGGGAAGCAATTTAGGAATCACATGTTGGCAGATGGGTTGGTTTGCTGGAAGAAAGAAGGAGGAGAGTGTCCTGCATCTAAGGGAGATGAGAACAGTCATGTTTTCAAACATCACAAGTAATTCCACTCTTCACCAGACATAAGACTTGACCTAAGAATGTTGAGATTTTGTGGGTGAAGTAATGTTTTGGTTTCTTTGGCCCTTGTTATACCACACTCTCAGGATATACTGTGATTTGAGAAGCTGTAGAACGTGATCTGGGATCATGAAGACCTGGGTTTTTTTCTTAAAATTTCCTTGGTTTTTTTTTAATTTTGTTTTTCAATGAAAACTGAGGTCATAATGTAATCACTTACTCATGTAAGAGTAATACTTAACTCCAGTGTGAATCTTTAAGAAAACACAGAGTGTTGCAGGACTTGCTGTAATTGAGGTTTGTGGCATAACAGTAGATAGAGCAGGCTTTCCCACCAATATTTATTCCCACTTTTCCGTTTTCATCAGAGGAAGTGGGGAGAGATGAACAACTGCAATTTCTGACAGAGCACTTTCCTTTATCTCTTCCATGGTAGAATCTTCTCTGGTGTCAAGAAAAATAGATAAGGAAGACACTAGGGGAAGCTTAGTAGGAAGCCAAGTGGAGATTATGCAGCATCGTGGAGGCCACACGTTGAGGAAAAGGTGGTGCCACTAAGAAGAGACAAGATGTTTGTAGATATCTGTGACTACACTTGGCCTTTTAGATGGGAAAGCAGATTTTTGTTGGCTTCATGTGGGGAAAAATCCAACACTTCAAGAAAGACTAACAATTTCTTGTGACAGTGTACGTCTTACTCTTTCTCTGATCTAACCTAGCTGAATTTAGTGGTGTCAGAACTAGGAAGGAATCTGGGCTTTATGAGCTTAAGTATGTAGGATTTCATACTTTCTTTCCTTGAGCATAGCTCTAGCAGGAAAACAAATCTTCCTTATGTATTTAATGAATGGGAAAGGTAATGGGGAAACAGGATGCAGAATTGCAGCAGGATTACAAGGTTATTTAGCTATAATACATTCTAAAAGTGTAATAAGATCCTCTTTATTCCTATGGATAGTCTTGATAGCAGAGAAACTCCAGGAAGAGGGATTGTTTCAAGCAATGTGCTTGAAACAGAGGCATCTCTCAATGGGATATTTTCCGTATTTTTTCCCCAGGAGGCATCCCTGGGTCTGTGTGGATTAACAGTGCTCCAGTAGATGCACAATAATATCTCTGTCAGATCAGAGAGATTATTGTATCAGAACAGTAATACGTAATCTGCTGGTTAAATCATCTGGTAGTAATTCCCTGAGAGCTGTGCCAGATTACAATAGCTCAGAATCTTGTCCCTTATTTTTTTTTCCCTGTTAAACTATTCTTTAATAGTCAGCAAATGTTTTTACCTTGCAAAAAAAAAAAGTTAGATAGTCATTATTCTCTTTGAGATCTTAAGCCAGATGTTAGAGGTGACATGCTACTCATAATCTACAACGTGTGAAGCAGGTGGCTTGGCTTCAAGCAGATAAAAATCCCATGAGATCCATGCTTTCTTGAACTGGATGCTGGGTATTCAGCACTGAGCTGGATGAACCCCATGGTCTTTAGGGAATGTGCTTCATTTTCCTGTGCTTAATTTTTCCCAAGCAACATTAAATTGCACACAAGGGCTTAAATGACATTCCATTAATGTTAAGCATAAGTTTCTATCCTCACCAAAGCGCACTGGTAGATGTACATGACAGTTTTAAAATATAAATATTTTTTTGCCTTTGGGCTTCTGAGTCTTTCAGGGTAACTGTTTCCACCTTTCTATCATAACCTGTAGTACTATTATTATTTTTTTTTTTTTTGGAAGTCGTATGACTCCAGACATGGGATTTGTAGCAAAAAGGCCTTGTTTTTCCAAAAGTATCCAGAATTCTCCCCAGGAAAAATGGCAAATCTTGCATCCATGCCGGACTGTCTTGATAGAAACTGGAGAGCAGAGTTATAGGAAAGAGTGCTTGGAGTTAGGTCAGACATAAATTGGACACTGTATCAGATTAGGAAGAAATGCTGAAATTGGTCTTACGTAACTGAGCCTTGTTTGAGAAGGGCAAAGCAGATAAAGCATGTTCACTTGATTCTCTCTAAGGGTGGGATAAGGGTGTTCCGAGTCTGTATGGACACCATGGACTATGGAAAGTGTGATCTTTATTGTCCTGTTCCTGGAGGATGAATTGGTGGTGTGGCACCAGAAACACCGCTCTGAGGAGGAGAAATAGGCTCAGTGAAAGTGCTTTTGGGTGAAGCTGGAATGCAGTGCAGTGGCATTTGTGGGGCTTCTCATCTTTACCCTTCACTGAGGAAGTTCAAATAAATACAGTAAATAAGTAAATACAGCCTGTGGAGGGCAAAGCTCTGCCCTGGGGGCACTGACAAGTGCCTTGCACTGCTGCCCTGCTGAGGTGAGGGAGACTATTTCAGTGGCAGGGAACTGCTTAAGCTGAAAGCTGCAATCTGGGCTTCCACTGGGAACTAGAAAGAAAGGATCCTAAGGCTGACACAGAGTGATATCCCAGGAATTCTATGAATAGAGGAAGCAGTCTTTTTCAGAAAATACCATTTCCTAAAGGTAGAGTACTCAGGTGAGAACATTTCTCAGTGAGATCCCTATGCCTCCCTGTCCCCTATGGAAAAGTGTGACAGAGGATGTCTATCATGGGGCATAATGAGTGCCTTTGGTATCCCAGTGGTGTGATTCTCTTGATAACTACATCCCTGGCATACTCTTACAGGTTCAATAAACAGATTTTTATTTTGTTAAGAGAAAGGATGGATTCAGCAGTTTGATGCTGATCACCACTTCCAGATAAGACATATAGTTCACATGGATTATAAAACTGCTTTGATTGAGGAAGAATGTTGATAAAACTAACAGGTAAATTAATCTTGGTTAACCTGCAGTCCCACAATGGAGGAGGGTGGTTAATTATAGCAAAAAGCCTGAAATATCTTGCATAGTATTGATTCAAAGAGCTAGAGAGATGGCAACCTGCATACTAACAAACCTAAACAAATAAAATCCACTCTTGCAGCATAGATCAACATGACCACGCTAAACAGTGGTGCTGACACTGTTATAAACAGCCCCCATGGCCAAGTGGTGCAGCTGTTTTTACCTCACTGCAAATTTGGGCCAGATGGGATTTATAGAACTCCCCAACTTCACCATCAGCTAAGAAAGTTCAGAGAGAGGTTTCAAGACATACAAACATTCAGCTTGGTGTGCACGTGTGTGTTTTGGGAGATTTCTCTAAAACAGTAGGAAGTTTGAGGACACAATGAAACTCAGAAGTGCACCTGTTTCTTCTTTTTTTTATGCCATTCCACTGGTTTACATCCTTCTGGTTATACTTTCAAGCAGTCTCAAGATTTGCTGCAGTTTTTCTTCATGCTTAATAATTTCAGCATCCAAAGGCCAGTCTTTCAGATTTTTGTGTTTGTAGTTAAGAAAGGCTTACCATAGCTGACAGCAGGAAAAAAAAAAACCCAACACTGCCAGTATTCTTATTTGTGTAGATGTTGTTCCGTGTTTTGATTTGAGACATGAATGGAAAGGTGTGTGGGTGTTGGCAGATACTTGCTGACTTGATTTCTCTTATTTATCATACCCAGCTGGGGCTTTCTAAGAGCCAAGGCCCAGAGCATACGGCATCATAACTTGATGTTGCAGCTTAACATATGGTTCCTATTTGTTTTTAAATCCTTTCCTGCATCATCCAGAGACTAAGGACAGAAGCATCCTCTTCGTGGGAGGAACATCTCTAATTTCCACATGCTACTTGTTCCTGTACTGTTGAGAACTCCACTCTACTTATCTCAACTGCAGAGGTTGTCTTAAGCTCTTTCTCCAGACTTTTTAATGCTCACATACACAGATTTTGTAATCTTTCCAGATGTATTACAGATTTTTGGAACATGTGGTCAGTGCTAGAATACACTTATGGTCCATATTCTCACAGTATTTTAATTCCTTGGGATGTCTAGTCTGATTTAGGGACATATTCTAGTTTAGGATGATCAGAAGCATGAAATCATAAGAGTAGTTGACTCAAATTGCATTGGAAATTTGAAACAAAGGGAGGACTTGAATGTAAATCTTTTCATTCACTGGACCAGTGGATAAACAAATATTTTTCTTTATTATCTGTGTTATATCAATTCCTTTTGAGCTGCTGTAATAGTTCTTCGCTGACTGTTACTAAACACAATTAGTTCATGTTGAGGAAATTGCAATAAATCTCCTCTTGTCGTGTGCTCTTTATTACAGGAGTCAAACATTTTGAGCCCAATCCAGGATGGGACCAAAAAACCCCAGATAGACAGCATTAAAAGCAATAACTACAATATTGTTAAAGAGGTTGGTACACCCGCCAAGAAACTTGCTTGACATACTTGTTCGATAAGTAATTTAGTAATTGTTTTGAAAGAAAGTATTTTTGTTTGGGTTTGTGTGACATGGCTGGTGCTTTGCTTGCTGTCATGCTTATTTATTTGTTTGTTTGTTTGTAGATTTTGATTCGACTCAGCAAACTGTGTGTTCAGAATAAAAAAGGTCGGAACCAACAGCAGCGATTGCTGAAAAATATGGGTGCCCACTTGGTGGTCTTGGACCTTCTGCAGATCCCCTATGAAAAGGTTATTCTCATAACTTTAGTGGTAAAGAACATGAGCTCAATAAAAGAAAACCTCAAGAGGCTCAAGAGTCAATGTGAATATCTTTTAAAATTGAATTTGGTCAAATGTGGTAGAAACACGAAATGATGATTTCCTACCTTAAGAATAATGGGTCTGGGCTCAGTTTAAGTATGGCTGCCTGCACAGAACAGGTATTATTGAAAACTTAATATTTACTGCCTTGGGTGCCTGGATGTCATGGTGCTGTCATTCCTATAATAGGCAAACCTTGGATCTGTAGTCATTGCACAGTGAGAAGTATTGGTTTAACACAGCTCCTGCCAGGGAATCTAAATCCCACTCTTGGGTATTGATGTGAGTGCTATTGTAGATACATTAGGTGGACCAAAAGCTTTCAAGGGTCAAATCTGAAATAACTTCTTTGTTTCTGTGGTGGACATCTCTAACCTAGTTCCACTTACAATTTTTTTTTAACCAAGATAATGTGATTTTGTACTGATTTAGTGGCATGGAGCATACAAATGAATGATCTACGTAGCCTTTTAAAGAGCAGATCTTTTCTAGATCTTACAGGAAGCACTGAGAGAAGATAAAACTTTTACTGGGCTGCATTTTCCTGAGTGTTACCCACTGATGTTATGATGCAGACACTGGGTTCAGGTGTCATAGCAAAATAGTGCTTGTCCATAGAGGTGGTTCATCAAATCATAATTAGAATACTACATGAGAGGAATATAAAATGGGGATATAAAATAAACATATATTTGTGTGGGAGTACCGTGTATGAGCATATGTATCTGTGTAGGTGTGCACACACATGCACACATACATCTGCTTCTATATGTAGCTATATAAAAGCCAAACCTTTGCCAAAGCTTAAAATTAATGTGGGCTAGAGAGCTTTTTTTTTTTTTTTAAATTAAGCCACTTTGCACTTTTTTTTTTTAAACTAAGAAATTATAACCGGGCATTAGGAAATCTTACTTGGAGTTTTGTCCTCCTACCTGTGACTTCCTACGGTCAAGTTGATTCAGAGTAAGGTACAGCCACTAATGGCCTCTGGAGGGAACTAGATCAGTTGCTTTTGCCAGAGGGAGAATTCCTGCCCCATAGAGGCTCAGGAGAATTGGCTTGTTCCTGGCTGAATTGACCTTGTGTGGTTTTAATAAGTATCTTTAGGTGTGCCTTTGGGGCCCCTGGTGGTCTAGTGGTTAGGGTGCAGGACTCTCACCACTGCGACCTGGGTTCGATTCCCAGCCCCTCCGGGCAGATGGAGCTCTAAGAGAAGGTCACTCTAAACAAACCTACGTTCTGAGACCCTCACTGCCACTGTCCAAGCTTACTCGGCCCCGGCAGATGAACCTCAGGATTAAAGGGTGGGCTCAGTTCAGCGCATGCTGGGTCTCACCTAAAAAATCCACTGCACAGGCTCGAAGGGTCAATGACCTTTCCCAAATCTTCGCTCGCGAAGACTGGCCATTTATTATTATTAGGTGTGCCCATCTGATTTTGTTTGTCTTTTCTTCCTGCAGAGTGATGAAAAGATGAATGAAGTTATGAATCTAGCCCACACTTTTCTTCAGAATTTCTGTCGAGGAAATCCTCAGAATCAAGTTCTCCTCCACAAAAATCTCAACTTGTTCTTAACTCCAGGGGTAAGTATTTAATTTTAAGCAGAATATTATAACTGGAAGTAAATTTGGTCTTGGTGAAAAATTCCAGAGCTAAATAAATAATTTCATTAAGTTACATTCTCTCTCTTCTCTCTCCTTTCCCTGTTCTCTCTCTTCTCCCCCTTATTGTTGCTCTTTATGTAATTGTTTTTAATGTTCACATTTTACAAGTGGAAAACAACATTACTTGTGGGCTTTACTGGAAGTATCTATGAACATGTCACATCATCACATGGTGTTTAGCTTGAGTCTGATGCTGTGACTACGCTGTCATGAAGCTCGTGTGACAGCAGAATCAGACCCATTCATTTTTGCTGATGGTGCCCCCATTTGAATCAACTAATCTAAAATTCAATCTTTTATTAAATCACTGTCTTTACAATACACCTTTCTGTCACAGTCCCTTTGTATATATATGTATGTGTGTTTGCAGATACATTCACATAGGATGGCTCTTGCTCTGTGGCAGATCTACTGAGCAAAGCATGCTGTTATTAGATAGAGTTGTGAGTATAAAGATTGTAGATCCTGGCCTGTGTACATTAGGAAGCATTTGTTCTGTTATTTTTTATTTATGCTCTTTTGTGGAATTAGTGAATGGCACTGAGCTGACCCCAGTGGGGACCAGTGCCCAGATTCCATCATGTCTGACACAGACACTTCACTCAGGTGCCAAGTAGGGAGCTTGCTTGCACTTGCATCTCTGTTCTTTTGAAGTTGATTTCCTGATCATCCTGGTCATCATCAAAGTTGTGGTGCTTTTGTCCACATTATGGAGCAAACTTGGTGTGGATTCCTTTCAGATGACACTGAAGAGACGGATTCTCTAGGAGCACACCTGACTCATGAGCCTTTAGTCCAAGGGATCAAACCAGAGCAAGTTTGAAGGAAAAGCCCCAAGAATGCACAAAATCTCCTCTTGCTACTGATCTGTTCCTCTTGTTCTGTGCTGCTCACTGACACGCAGCCTTAGGCTCCCTCTCTTATTCCTGTGGAAAGAGATGTTCTCTCAGGAAGTGATCAGGCTGCACATACAATGATTGGCCTGCTGGAAATGCCTCTGTCAGTCACAGAGGGAGTCACAGCCACTAATCCTCTCACGTGGTTGCCTCAATGCCAAGTTTGATTGTGAGTGAGATGAGTGTGGTTTCAGGTTCCTGTATACCAAACTCACAGAATCACAGAATATGCCCGGTTGGAAGGGACCCACAAGGATCATTGAGTCCTACTCCTGGCCTTGCACAGGACCATTTCCAAGAGTCATACTATGTCCCTGAGAGGATCATCCAAACACTCCTTGAGCTCTGTCAGCCTTGTTGCTGTGCCCACTGCCCTGGGGAGCTTGTTCAGTGTCCAACCACCCTCTGGGGAAGAACCTTTTTCTACTGTCCAACCTAAACCTCCCCTGACACAACCTCAGGCCATTCCCTCGGGTCCTGTCATTGATCACCACAGAGAATAGGGTGCTCTAGCAGTGTATTTATGTGTGTATCTTCACCTTCCACATGGACACAGGTTTTGTTTATGTCCGCTTAAGGACCATTTTATACTCACAGGGAAGTGTGGAGATAATCTAGGCCCCAGATCATTGCTTAGTGACTGGGCTGGTGCATGTTGGATTTTCCCAGTTTCCCTTGACCAATGTGCCTTTCTCTTCCAATCCCAAAGCAAATCCGCTCTTCTTACAATGCTGTTTTGATTTTAACCTGTTCCAGCTGCTGGAAGCTGAAACCATGAGGCACATCTTCATGAACAACTACCTCCTGTGTAATGAGATCAGTGAGAGGGTGGTGCAGCACTTTGTGCACTGCATCGAGACCCACGGGCGGCACGTGGAGTACCTGCGATTCCTACAGACCATCGTGAAAGCAGATGGCAAATATGTGAAAAAATGCCAGGACATGGTAATGACAGAGGTAAGAGAAGGGTTCTCATGTTAATCGCTCATGTATTTTGAGGTTGGTTTTTTTTGCTCTTGGTACCTCACTTTAGAATTTTAAACAGTATCACAAATAATGAATATTTAGCAGACGTTTTTGGGAGTTTGATCTAATTTTGTAAGGCCATCTGTATAACTACTAGAAAGAAAACATGAGTGTTAGCATGGTGATACAGAGATGTCTATTTGTAGATGATGTAGCATGGAAATCTCAAAGTTACATAAACCTTCATTTTCCTGTACTGTAATTTAGGGTCTCTTTTACCCACCTTGTGGCATGGTTTTGCTGTGTAAGAGGCTTGTACCTCTATGGATTTGTCTAAATAGTGTTGTTGTAGACCACTTTTTTTCAGCATGTAACAATTTTAGATACTGGTTTCTGCCTTTTTTTTGTTTTGTTTTCTTCCAGAGCATTTACGTGAGAGTCAGTAGAATTATTCTAGCTTTAACTAGCTAGATTCTGTCTGACCTGGTAAATTCCGCTGAGTGGTTTGTGGACAAATCTTTATGCCATTAAAGTTCCTAGGAAAATACCTAATTGAGTTCTCTGCAATTAGGATTTGATATATAGTGAGCATGATATATGAAGTCTTCAACTTGCAGACACTTGTGCATTTAACTGTAATTATGTTAGCAGTTCAATGAGATTAATCAGCGATTAAAGTTGAATATGGTGAAAAGTCCTGGTAGGATCAGAGTCCGAGAACATTTTTCTTTACTTTACAAAGTGTTTTTCTTTTTTTATTTAGTGTTTGTTGGTTTGGTGTTTTGTTTTTGTTTTTTTTTTGAGAGTCATCTTTGCAAAGAAATCACAGATAAGCTCTAGTTGTGGTATGAACAAAACTAAGCCCTGCTGAAATTTTATTCCACAGCAAGAAGAGGGAAAACTTATAATTAAGAAAATAAAGCATCAGTCTACATGGATAACCTTTAATGGAATCCACCTCAACCTTTTCAATTTGACTGAAGTGTTTTAACATACAATTTCAATTACAAGCCTTTGATTTATATAATTGAAACAGTTCTTGTGCATTTTTGGTTTTAGATTTCTCCCCTTCCACCAAAGCTTCTTGTAGGTTTTTACTTCCTCATCCAACAAAATTTTTTGATTTTTCTCAATTTAAATATATTTTGTTGTTGCCCTACAACAGCACAAAGATAAATTGTCATATTACATTTTCAAGCTGGCTGCATGATAAAAGTAGAAATGAACTTGGATATGTCATTCACACCATGAGTCCTGCAGGAATTTGCCTGGAGGGAGGGAGGAAATTTTGATGAAAGAGGGTAAGATCTGTTTTTAAAAAAAGTAGGAAAATACAGGTAAGCAATTATGATTTGTCAGAGAAGGATACTAATAGTGAAATTTGAATGGTGCATGACTGGCAATCCAATATAAAGGGAACAGTGTAGCCAAATGGTTGGAACTTGCCACAGAGTCAGGACAGTTCCTTAGTAGAAAACTGAGATTTTGTGACCTTAAACAAGTGATGTAACTTTTTTTGTGCCTCCAGATGGGGCACATGAACAATTTACCACAAGACAAGACAGAATATGACTGTGCAGCATGCCTCAACCACTCCTGTGTTTTCTTTCACCCACAGGAAGTATATTGTGGCTTATCCGTGTTTACTGGGTGTGAGGGATGAACTGACCATATTTACATGTTTTAGGAAATGCACTGTCATAAAAGACATTGAACATTCCCAATTTGACTTATTCACTTGTTCTCCTATCCTTGCTCTCCATGTCTCTGGAGTGCTAGTAATGATGTTTACCGACCTGTAAGGTTCCTTAGAGCACTTTTTGTCATTACAAGCCTGCTTTGAGGTTCCTGGAAGAACCATGCCTGTCAGTGCAAACAGTATTACAGAAGGGAAAGCAGAGTTTACTGTTGAACCAGATCAGTGTTGCAGCAGGGTTTTTTATTACCTGTAGTGTTCTGGAGTAATATATCACAAAGCATCAGCACCTGCTCCAATGACCAGCCTTCATTATACTTTCATGGAGTTCTTAACTCACTGAAAATATATTTTAGTAGAAGAAAATGCTGCTGGTTTGGGGATTTTTTTTTCCTATCACTGATATATATTTATTGTTGATAAATGTCAAGCAATACTGGTACAGAGTAGGTCTGGATTTGACATAGGAGTGTAGCTCTAGAGGAACCAGGAAAGAGTTGTTGTCATCTTCTATGTGCAAAATGTACCCAAGTGGAAAAAACTATGGGAATGTCGTGAACAACTTAATAGAAAGTGACAGAGATTGTACCTTCCCAGAGGGTCAAATGTGGATTTTTTTATTAGTATTTTGTCCTAAGAGCATAATGTCAAACATCAGTATTAAAAAGTTAGTTCAATTTTCCAACATTCTGAATACTCATATTTTCCCCTTTTTTTTTTTTTTTTGCCATTGAGTGCAATGAAATTAATGGGTCCCTGTTCTGTCTCCTTCCCCCTTCCCAAGCTCTTGCCTCTTTAAAAACTTTTCCTGTACTGTGGATTGTCCAGAAAATGTCTGAGGAAGTCATGACTAAAAATTTTTTAGAAACCCGGAGATAAATGAGAAATAGGAATTGCAGGAAAGACTGAATTCACAATTCATTCCAGCGAAATGTCAAAGTAAAAATAAGGAAGAACCGGGGAAAACACAAACAGAAAAGTTGTGAATTCAAAATTTGAAATGTTGAAACCCTGGAAAATGTAATGAAATGTTTCTTGACTTTTCATTCTGGGAGACTAATTTTCATTCCTGCTCTTGCTGCTTTCCCACCCTTGAATTCAGTAAGACGGGTTTTCATGCCACATATGGATTAGATATGTCAAGAGCCTAATTCACAGAATATGTGGTGCTGCCAAGCTGTATTTTGTGCTAGGAAAGGCTTGTGGGAGCTTATTTTCACTCACACTGAGAGGGCATTATGCTTAAAAGGAAAGGAGAGAGGGCAGGACTCCTGTCCTGTCCCAGCTCTGCTCAAGCTCATGGAGCAGCACTGGCAGTGGGATCTGGATCCTCTTGAGATGAGTGATGCACTTGTAGCAGGATGAAATATTTATCACATACACCAGTTTTCTGTTAAATGGAAGTGCTGACATGACACTGACAATGTCATGACCCACCTGTCACATTTGTATGGGCTGGGAAGAATCATCCTTTATTTCCAATGCTGAGCAAGGTGGGAGAACAGGTGGGTTCCATTCTGGGTGAGCCATAGGCTTTTTGTGTGAGGCAGCATGGAAGATTTCATCTCCCTGCACCTCAAGTGCCTGTCTATAAAACAGGGATAATAATGCATCCTGGCCTCAGAGTAGGAGGTGAGAGTAATTAATTAACTTCAATAAACACTGAGATGGTAGGAATAATAAGGATGGCAGACTGTCTTAAGTAAAACAGAGCTACACAGAAATTAAACCTCAAATTCACCTTGCATCAACTTGCTCCTTGGTGAGTTATTCCAGAATTGCACGTGTAGATAAGAGAAGTCTGGATGTTCTTTTGACATGTGCATTTGGTAAGCCACATCAAAATAAGTTTTATTTGGTTGTTGAGTTGGTGCTTCTTTTTTGCTAGACAGTCTTTGCATACTTAAAGATAGAACAAAATGAGAAATTAAGAAAATCATAGAATTGCTTAGGTTGGAAAAGACCTTTAAGATCACTGAGCCCAAAATTACTGCAGTGCAGGGTGCTTAAAACTTTGATATCTCTTTCAGCTGATAAATGGTGGTGAAGATGTACTGATATTCTACAACGACAGAGCATCATTTCCAGTCCTGCTTCAAATGATGTGTTCGGAGCGAGACCGAGCCGATGAAAGCGGGCCTTTGGCGTATCACGTCACTCTGGTGGAGCTGCTGGCAGCTTGTACAGAGGGAAAGAATGTGTACACAGAGATCAAGTGCAATTCCCTCCTGCCACTGGATGATATAGTGAGGGTAGTGACCCATGATGACTGCATTCCTGAGGTAGGATTCACGGCATGACGAAGCAGACTTAGCATTTTTAGAAACTCAGTGTTTTGTTGTTTATAATATACTGACAAGTTGAATATTTGTACAGAAAATGGGCTGGAAACAGGTGAATAAGTGAGAAAGGATAAGACAGAATTTTCTTCAGCAGAAAATTTCTTCTCCCTTATGCTTTGGTTGTCAGCCCTTCAGGCCACACACCTTGTTTTGTTTTCCTGGCTATGTCCAGTCACTATCAGAGTTTAGTTCTCTCATGACTTCTGGCTGTAGCTGTGAAGACCCAGCTGAATGGTTGGTGAAGGCAATGTTTTGTTGCTGCCTGAATTTGTTGGAAATGAAGTCAGCGAAGAGTTTGAGGTGAAGCATCATTTTATTGAATTTAACTGCAGTCCAGCAAATGTTTTTACTCACTGCATATCGAGGCACAATTCTGCAACTACTACCTGTCATGCTTCAGTAAGGCTGGGATATTATCTGATGGAAAAATGGGGCTCATGGCAACAGAACTCGGACCTGCAGGTGTTAAGGCTCTCTCTGTACCATGGAAAAGTCTCCTTGTGATCAACTGATTCTTTTATTAAAAAGCAAAATGTTTGATTTTGCTCAGAAGTTCCTCCTAACATTTGTTTCAACAGATGCTAATTAAAAAAAAGCCCAAACAAAGGAAACTTGAAGGTCTGATGTGAGTTTTCTCCTGACTGCGTTAAACATATGCAACTATCTCATCTCCTTTGACCGTGACAGGAAATTTCCAGTGCATCTGCATATGTTTATACCTAATCTATACATTTCAGGCTCTGGCTGTCCATTTTTATGCTGTGTGCATGCAGACTTACAATGCTGGAGAGCAGTGCAACTGCAGTCCTCCTCTGAAGCCCTGTGCTGCTGTTGCTGCAGTCCCAGTGCTCCACAACCTTTCTCTTTCATTTAGATCCCAAAGTGCTGCAATAGCATTGTGGGAATACAGGGACTGCAGTCCCAGCTCTGCTATAGACATTTTATTTTATATTTGGCAAGCCCTGTCACAAGGCATCAACCCACCACAGTCAACTCAGCAAGTGCAGGGGTGTCCTGCCTTTTGACAGCTCCTGGATTTAGAGCCAGACCCTTCTAGCCTTAATATCATATTAAATACCAGAATTTGGGTTGTTTCATGAGGGTTTTGTCATTAGAGTGAGAATGTTTGCAAAACCTTTTCATTTTTCTTCATGTGATCTTTCAGTGAGTGCATTAAGGCATGTGCTGCTGTGCTTCTCCTTAAATCTTCATAACCAAACATATGCATTATTGAAGGTATTAATGTTTGTTGGCACTGGGAGGATCATCTTTATTGTTCAGCATTTTTGCAGATACAAAATATTATGTTAATTGTTTTTACTGTTCCATTTTATACTGAGTGTGTTTTGGTTGTTCCTGCAGGTGAAAATTGCCTATGTTAATTTTGTTAACCACTGTTATGTGGACACTGAAGTGGAAATGAAAGAAATCTATGCCAGTAACCATATTTGGAAGCTATTTGAGAACTTCCTTGTTGATATGGCAAGGGTAAGCTTCACAACATGTTAAATATTATATTATATTTGGTGAAGTTCTTTTATTTTGCTAACTATTTTTATTCACAGTTGACAATGGGCTAAGAGTGGTTTGTTGTCTTTATCATCACTTAACCTGTTAATTATTAGCAGTCTTCTCTTTCTAAAAGGGCATATTTCATATTTCTGGAAGAAAAGGGCATATTTCTCTTTTCTTCCAGAAAAATAAACTGAGTGCATGTACAGGGCTGAGAGCCTGTGTACATCTTTTGAGAGCATGTGTTACATGTCATTATGGTGGTGACTAAAACAAACCCCCACATCTGTAATCTCTTCCTTTATTTTGTTGTTACAGTGAGGATGAGGGATCAAAGTGTTCTTTGGCTTATGTTCCTTCTTTAATCTCACTTCTGCCACAGGTTTTTGGTGGCTGCTGGGCTATATTTGATCCTTGATGTTGGACAGTGTTTTGGAGATATTATAGAGCATGTTGTGATAGTACATGCCTATCTTTTCCCAGTCTGTGGTCCATTACATTTTATAAAAGTTCTCACTTCTTGCATTCTTCATTTTGTTGAAATAAAGAAAATAAAAGGTTAAAGAATCTCAATTCACTCCTGCAGCAGACATGCACCCCAAAGTAATAGTGTGCCACAAAATAATTTCTATGAGACCTATTGGGAGAAAATACTATGAATTCTAGCTAAAAGAAGAATGAGTGCAAAGACTTGTGCTCTATGATATGCACTGGGACCTGTTCATTGCTCCGTGGAACAGAAAACTTATAAATAGTTGGGTTTTTTCTTTTGTGGTTTTTTTTATCCCCTCCCTCCCCCCCCCCCCGGGAGCAGGTTAAGGCAGGGATGTTTTTGCTCTCTCTTTTTGCTGGTAGCCATTTTCAGCAGTAATTAGTCCTCTCCAAACACTGTTTGCTTGCTGTTTGTCTTGTCTCTGTGGTTGCGTTATAAAGCAAAAGCCCTTCTGGACAAACCAACCTCTGCTGAAAATTAAGATCAGAAACATCCTTGGAGGGGCATTCTGACTTTTAACCTTGCTGGTTTTACCCCGAGAAGTATTTTCTCCTGTTTAATTCCCCTTCTGGGTTGCCCTTTCCTGATGTGTCCTGACCCTGACCCTCCAAACAGACTATCCCTCCTCTCCAGCCCTTGAACGTGACCAATTTTCTGTGCCCTTGAGCTACAAACAGACTTGTAAAAAGAGGGCTCTGTCCACATTTCCTCTCCTGAGCCTGGAGACAAACTGCGCTATGCTAAACGATGCAGGGTTGTCCTGATGGCAGCGAGCACCAGGCTCGCTTTCACATACCCTTCTCACGAGAGAAATTAGACTCCAGGTCTTCAGAGGTGAACACTGAGTGTGTGATTAACACTGTATTTTGTGTGCAGGTGCTGTTGGTACTGAGTGGCCAAAAAGCAGTTTTATTTTGCTCTCCTGCAAAGCCCTCAGGGCAGATGCCTAATTAGTCCTCTTTATTTCCCGGTTAATGGCTAAAAGAGCATATCAGAAGTGCTCTGGCCTGTCCTGCTCTCCAGCCAGCTCCCCATGGATAGCTGTATTTTCCAGGTTATTGAGTGTATTTGTTCAGGTTTGGTGTTCTGGAGCCTAGACAGAGTCCATGTGTTATAAATACATCAGCGTTCTGTAGCTATCAGGACAGTTAGAAGGCTGTCAGCCTCATGAAAGATGTTACAATAGCTTTCAAAGCATTTAGAAAAAGAGCCCTTTGATCCTCTGTGTTCCAGTGAGCTAAAAGGGATGCTTTTGTGTGGGGGAAGGGGAAATGCTTTTCTTCTAGCTGCTACAAATGCCTGTCAGTGGGTGAGTTTGTGAGCTTTGAGTCTGAGTCTGTTATTAGAGAGCACTAAGGTGAAAGACGGAGAGTGTTATCCTCAAGTTGGATTCCTTCTGGGGTTTTATACATATATATATATATGTATGTATATATGTATATATATATATGTATGTATAAAAAAATAACGAATTTTTTTAGTCTGTTTCTGGATTGAGGAAGGAAATATTTAGCCCCCAACTGTCATTTTTCTTTCAACAATGTGATACATTGCAAAGCAGGCACGAGGCGGATTCGTGTATAAATTGGGTTTGCCAGAAGCAGTCGCGCTTTCAAACACACCCTGTTCCTGCAGCTTCTGCCAACCTACTTTCTCCTGTGTGTGACTTTACAGTGTTGCACTGAGCAAAGTGGGTGCTGCTGCTGAAGGAAAGGTTTCCCTTTCCTGCGTGTGGCCCAGTCAGCAGCTGTGCAGTCTGAGCAGGATTAAAGAAAGAACCAGGATCTGACAGCCGTAAAGACATCCTGGCTTTCACTGCAGAAGTTTTGAAGTATTATTCATGTGAGTTTTGGTCCCAAAGCCTCTTAAGGGGTTTTTAAACACTGTTTTCTCAATCCTCATCTCCATTTCATGCATTTCAGGGGTATTTTTCTTCCATGAAGAAAGATCTTTCAGTCCCCAAAGGGCAGAGGGATGAGAACAAACGAGAGGATTTCCAAATTGCTTCTGCGCTGGGAATTTTTCAGACCACTGTTGGAGCAGAGTGGCATCCCCACACACATGGCTCTGCTTTTCAGGCAACTAAAGGGGGAAACTTAAAAGTTTTGGAATTTAGTTTCGGTGATTTCAGAATTCACCATGCTAGCAGTGCACAGCTCCCTGTCTTCCCACTGGGATTGCAAGTGCTGAGCCTCAGAGCTACTGGTTCCAGCCAAAACTGGCATGCAGATTAATTAAAAGCAGAAGAACTTAGAGAGGTTTTTAGTTCTATGATCTCTCTTTTTGTTGTTGTTGTTGAAACAAGTTTTGATTATTAACTGAATAATTTACCTTCGTGAGGACTGGCGGTGATGATGGTGTCATACTTTCCCCAAAACTCAAGGGCTGAAGAGTTTGCTCTTTCAGTTTAGCCACTGTTGCTTCTCTGACCAAAATCTTTCCTTTCTTGGGGTGATAAAAAATGCACTACATGGAGGCATGACTTATGTGACATATTTTAGATAAGCAGACAAGCAAAGCTCCTCAAGATGCCTCATTTCTCCAGGTCTCAAGATATCTTTGGTTATTCCTCTGCCTACCATATGACAGTGCTTGTGTGTTAGAATCAAGGTGCTTCTGTGTTCCCTGAACACGGGTGCTTTGGGATGTCACGTCAGCAACCTTCCTTAAAACATTCCTGGTGAAATTGCTGTCTTGTAGCTTCCAAGTGTGACAGTGCAGTGTGTAATTAGAGAGAATCTTTGCCCTGTGTGAGATTCAGGTGCTGTGGATTATCTTTCTGCTTCTGTCACCAACTTTTCTCTGTGACCTTAAGCAATTCACTCAGCTTCTCTGGACTTCAGTTCCCCAGCCCTGGAGCGATGCAATGGTAAGTGTGTACCACTCAGGTTCATGACTGTGTGTTAAAAGCACAGACAGTAATAAAATGCTCCCCCAGGAGCCTGTATACAAAATAAATTCTGCTTTTGCATAGATCCCCAGAACGTTGCAGTCATCTTTGGCTTACATAGGCAAAAGAGAAAACAACTTTGCCTTCATTTCTTGTTACACATGACTAGAACTGCTTATTTAAAGGCCGTTGAAGACATAGTGTGACTACAGTCTCTACTCCTTATTTGTCCAGTCTTGCTTTTTCACTATGTTTGACTCTCTGTAGACTCCTTCCAGTACTCTGTACACTGACATATGCAAAGTCAACATGACTCTGTGTGGATGTTCACAAGTGTTGAAAAGAAATAAAGGAAATACTGAAGGATGTAATCCACCCCAGTAATTTTTTCCTTTCTTTAACTGTGACATCTTTATGTAGCAACAAACTTTTAGTGTTGTACCAAAGGGAGTCTTCAGGAGTCTTTTGTACAAATCTTCCCACGTCCTCCCACCATTTAATCATCGTTCTGTGCTCCAGAGTTGTCCTGGTACCATCCATTCCCTTCTTTCATTGTTTTAGCTTGGCTTTTGTATTTTCCCCATGTGGCTTCCCTAAGTAATGCCTGTCTTACAGTACAATCCTAAAGGCTGCTGTATTGATTATGCTCTTTCCTTTCTTTACCTCTTTTTAAACATTTTTCCTGCAAAAATGTTTAAATTTTTCCTGCTTCACCTTTGCCACCCATTTGTGGTAATTGTAAAGAGAAGTTAAACATTACATGAACTCTTTCTAACCTCAGTTGTTTATGTCTCATCTGTCTCTAAAGCTTCTTCCAACCAGCCCCACAATGGGAGGAAAGGTCCATTTTCTTCTTGAATCTGTCTAAATGTGTAAGTGGCTTGCAGTGTGCTGATTTAAGGGGATCTTTTCTTCATGGTGTAGGAAAGAATAGACAGCCAGCCAGAAAGAGCTAGTCCAGAAGAGAAGGGTTTTCAAAAGGCAACGTGGACCTCCATGAAGAAAGATAAGCTCTCCCAAATACAGCTTGAGCACTAAGATAGTAATCCCTGAAAGAATTTGTATAAAAATAATTTGGTTTTATATTAAGAAGAAATATCAGATGTATTGTAGTAAATACAAGATAATAAAGCTTGCTTATTGAAAAGAAGTAAATGCTATTGTTTCCTCCTTCTTCCCTTCAGGTTTGCAACACAACCACAGATCGTAAACATGCAGACACATCTCTGGAGAAATATGTCACTGAGCCTGTAATGAACATTGTGAGTGGCTTCTTCAATTCTCCATTTTCAGACAACAGCACCAGCCTCCAGGTAAGGAAAAGAGACACAGACAAATATGTTAGTCAGTCTTTTAATGAGATACCTTCTGTTCCCTGCATAGGAATGCTGTATCTTTTCATCCTCCTTTAATGTCTCTGTCCCCTCTCATGCCACTGACTAGCAGCTTAATTCCTCTTTAAAACACTTAATTTAATCACTTACATCTCTGAACCAGTAGGCAGCTCAGTGTGGTCAGATTTACATCTGGCTCTTGTGAATTCATTAGAGGGGGATCCTTGCAGAATAATGGCCTGTCTCTGTATTTGTGTGAGAAAAGTGCTGTGTCCCATGACAGAAGGGACACATACCTGAGAACTGGGAAGACTCCCCTGTCCTTCTGCTCTCTCTTGCGTTTACCTGTCATTATGAGGAAAAAATGCATGATTTGGCCTTTTTAGAGGTGCAGCATTGATTTCTGTTTCCACCAGTCCTAAACTTCAAAGAGAATTTAATGGAGCTGTGACTTCAGTCTATAAGCTAAAAACCCCTCGGTTTATGCTGTGTCAGACCCTAGGGCAGTTGTGAGGAGATCCTGAAGGGTAAAATTCAGTGTTTATCTTTTTGTTTTCAGACACACCAGCCTGTTTTTATTCAGCTGCTGCAATCTGCTTTTAGAATTTACAACTGTACCTGGCCAAACCCAACACAGAAAGCCTCAGTGGAGTCATGTATCAAGACTTTGGCTGAAGTGGGTAGGTGCCAGGTTTTACTTTGATTATTGTTCTTCATGTTTTAAAGTTCAGACTTGAGGTTTACCAGTGTTTAATTTGACTCTACTGTCCTGAAGTTGTGATTTTAGAAATCCCACTTCCTGAGGCTGAATTCTTCCTTCCTTTATAAACCATTCAAATCTGTCTCATCAAATAGGGTTGTTAAGGTGAAACCTGTAGGTTGGAGAGATGATCTTGCTAAGTGAGTGATGATTGAACTTTCAATCATCAATTTTAATTTGATGGTTGAAACTTTTGATGATTTTTGCTTTTTAATATAAGCAAGCTAAGATATTAAAACACAACATAAGCAAAGGTTTTCCTGTGCACGGCAAGGGAGTTGGAACGAGATGGTCCTTAAGGTCACTTCCAATCCAGACCATTCTGTGAGTCCATGAGAAACTGGGGCATTTTCAGTCATGCTGGGCTGCATTTGCACACGGTTTTAAGGAGCAATGCACAGCAATTGTGCATTGGAGAACACTCATCATTTTTCTCTTCAGTTCCTGGAGGATGCATTCGCTATTGTCAGGCAGTCCTGGGCTTGTTCAGATTTTGTCCCATCAAGGAGTTGGAGATTGAAACCACAATTGTCCCACTCCACTCCTTAGCTTCTCCTCTTAGTCCTCACCATCAGACCTACTCAATTACTGCTGTTACAGTCAGCCTTGTCAGGGGAATATTGCCTTGCATTGTTGCTGAGACCAAATTTGACCCTCAGGGCAGCTAATAACTTAAGTGCTTTCAAATCAATTCAAACACCATATTAAAGTGGAACTTGTTTTAAAACTTCTTATCCTGAAAATATTCTTCACCAGTACATAGCTAAGACTGGCAAAAGTTCATGAAGTTAAATTTCTGTAAATACAATTTTAAGTCTTCTGCCATGATAGAAGAAAAGGGTTATTCAGTAGTTTCTAAAAGTTTAGTTTCTAAATAGTTTCAGTGATGCTGATTATTTGTAGAATAAGGTTCTGCTCAGTGTGAATGAAAATCTGAGTAGAGGCAGAGATACATAGAAACTGGCTAAATTCTATTGTTGATACCTTTTTTAAAAGTATTAAGAAATAATGATAAAACAATATGAGAGTGTCCCTTAGCCACCTGCAGCATCTGTGGCATTGTAACAATCAAATCTAAATTTAGGTTTTTGGAATAGCTTTATGGAAGTATCATTTAACATTTCAGCCAAAACATCTCATTAACTTTTTCTGTGTGTGAGAATAAGCAGTTACCTAAAAACTTAGCAACAGTCAATTGTTTTATTTGTTGTGCAAATGATTTAATTATGAGTCCATCTGGCAAGAGAACTTTGGAAGTTAAAGACATTTTATTTCCTTTATGCTACTACAATCTCCCATACAGCTCCATCCCTACAAATCGTTGTCTGTGTGTTTAACACTTATGTCCTTGCTCTTCTCTGGCAGTTCTGGAAGCAGTCATCAATAAATCACTTCCTTTGGGAGTCTGGAGAAAGGGGAAAGAAATAGGGCAGATGAGAGTATTTTGGAGACCGAGCACACCCTCTTGTGCTTCTAAGCAGCTCAGTGTCTTCATTTTTCTAGAGCTGCACCTAAAATCAAATTCTAGCTCAGAGAGGTCGCTGTGTTGTCTCACCAAGATAAGGGTATTTGGAAACTCCTGAGCATGGGTTTATTTTCCATTTGGCCCTGTGCCTACAGCACACAGCTGATTTTAGCATGAAAAATTCACAGCAAATTACAGCTATCCAGAGCTCTGGTGATTTATGGATGAGTCAGGCCCAAGGTCTCACTGCGCTTTCTCTTCTCCCATGTGCTAGGGCAAGAGGAAATAGCCTCAAACTTCACCAGGGGATGTTTAGATTGGATATTAGGAAACATTTCTTCATGGAAAGGGTTGTCAAGCATTGAAACAGGCTGCCCAGGAAAGTAGTTGAGTCACCAGCCCTGGAGGTATTTAAAAGATGTGTAGATGTGGCACTCGGGGATTGATTTAGTGGTGGACTTGGCACGGTTAGGTTACTGGTTGGACTCTATCTTAAAGGTTTTTGCAACCTAAATGATTCTATACTGGTGAGACAGCCAACCTGAAATTGTCTCCGCAGCAGCCTGACAGGGAAACCATGGGTCCCCTTAAGGGAATGGCAGATCCAGCTTTATGGCCAGGTGTGCCAGCATGTGAAATGGCTGCTGTTCTTTGGTGGGAAGTCTTCTGTGTGCCTCTTGTTCCTGGGGGAGCCAAGAGGAAAGCCCTGCAGCATGTCATGGCTGATATCTGGAGTCTTCTTCACATTTGTGACTTGGTTCCCTGTTTGGTGAATTTAATTTCTACCTCTGCTACAGTCCTTTCTTTCATTCCATTTTCTGTTTCATGGAGATGGTGTTTTATAAATAAGCTCTTGTGCTGTCCTGTGGGTCCAACCTCCTTCTTGCTACTCTGGCTTCCCACCCCTGGGACCTCAAGCCATGCCTTGGGCACTCTCAGGTGTGGCAGAGCAGAGCTGAGCTGTCGTTGAAGGACATCACCCCGTGTCCTCCTCTGGGACTCCGCAGCAGCAGGGCAGGGAGGCTGGGCAGCCTCTGGCATTGCAGTGGGCTGGCAGCCTCAGAGCTGCTCCCTGAAAGCACATGTCAGCAGCCACATTGCTGATCCCCTTGCCCATATCTTAATAATTAAGGATTCATCACTAATGGTAAATAAAATCAAGCACAGTAAAATTGTGTTGTGTTAGAAAATTACCACGTTTTTATTTAGTGGTTTATTTTGATGGTTCAGAAAGGGAGTGTAAGGGAAGAGTTGAGGGGGGTTTCCCCAAAGAGCAAGTTGGCAGGAGAAAAAGTAGATGATGATTTGCCAAACACACTTGTGCAAAGTTTGGCTGTTGAGCGGAGATTTTAACTGCTGGTGATACTCAGTATTTTTAGGCACAGTGTCAAACGTGTCTTGCCTGGGCTAATTGAGTAGTCCTGCCCCTTTTTTGTGGAAATATTTGGAAAAACTGCCCCAGCTGGGGGTACCAGAGGCTTTTACAGTTGAGGCCCTTCTGTGATTGGGTGTTCCACTACCCAAAATGGTGCTTTGCTTTGAGAAGCTAGAGGCATCTTCCATAACAAAAACATGGCAGCCTTCTTGTGCCTCTTTTGCTGCCTATGTATGTGGACCAGGTTTGGATTTTGGCTAGGCATCTATAAGCACCCTTCTGCCCTTTTTATTTTCCTCTTCTGACTTCAGAGTCTGACAGCTTTAATGTTAAGGCCTTTGTGTTTCACAGCAGGATTTAAAAAAAAAAACCACTAAAAAGATTTTGCCTATAGGGAGTATTGGACAGATTTATAACAGGCACTGAAGACTTCTGATGGAAAATAAGTGTAGTATAGAGTTGAAAGAACAAACTTGATTTTTTTCTGTGTGTGTGTTGCTATGTTGTTGCCCTGGATTTAGAAATTAATCTCAGGAGGAAGAAAATACATACACAGATTTCCCAAGATATCAAAGATCCATATAATGTTGCACTTTTAAAAGACCCATTTCAGAGCAAGCTTAAGCAACATACATTCTTCTCAGTGCTTACTAGTTTGTTGCTGGCAGGTGGATGCAACTATTGCCTCAAGAGCTTACGATCGTTACATCTGCCTTCTGATGAGCACTGTAAGAATGTGCATTATCTTCCAGGTCAACAAAATGATATGTTGCAGAAGCTTTTTTTCTGATAACCCTGGTACTTCACTCCCCTTGACCACCAGGGAAAAACTGCATAAGCTTTTCAAGCTTCACTTGGTGCTTTGTCTCCAGGCAGTTTCCTTCCTCCAGTTCAGCAGGAACCACAGAGGCTTGTTTCTCTTCTTCAGCAGACTCCTCTGTGGCTCCAAGCTGGATATCCAAGATTGGTATCCAACATGGATACCAATGTGCACCAGTTTTTTATTGTCCAGTAAACATTTGGCTGCCTGGCATGAATAGAAACACCTGTGAAATAATATACGTATATTAATGTGCCTTGTCCACGCAGATTTCTGAAGCGAGTTACCACAGTAGTGAGAATTAATAATAGTAATGGCCAGTCTTCGCGAGCGAAGATTTGGGAAAGGTCATTAACCCTTCGAGCCTGCACAGTGGATTTTTTAGGTGAGACCCAGCGTGCGCTGAACTGAGCCCACCCTTTAATCCTGAGGTTCATCTGCCGGGGCCGAGCAAGCTTGGACAGTGGCAGTGAGGGTCTCAGGATGTAGGTTTGTTTAGAGTGACCTTCTCTTAGATGGATGGCCTCACAGGGCTGACGAGCTCCATCTGCCCGGGGGGCTGGGAATCGAACCCGGGTCGCAGCGGTGAGAGTCCTGCACCCTAACCACTAGACCACCAGAGGCCCCTAGTGAGAATTAACACATTAGACATATATCACTTTTGGTTTTTTCTCTGTTATTACATAGGACTGAGCTTTTGCTTGAAAATGCACTCCAAAAAATGAATGATCAAAACTCTGATAAAATAGTGACAAATTAGAAATGTTTAAGAGGTCCCCAGACCTTTGTGAAAACCAAGGAACTAAGACATCTAACCATTTCATTTATTTGAAATGAATTTGTTATCAAAGGACTTTCAGTTCCTACATTTTATGGTCTTTGCAAGGTTGAGAAGGGTTAGAGGCCAGTCTCAAAGTTTGCATTTTAAACCATCTACTGTCTTTCCATAAAGATTGGGGAATATCGCCTGTCCTCCCAGCTGAAGTTTGTATATCTTAAATTGGAGCAGGGTCTTTCTCCCAGGGCTGACCAATCTTTCAGGGCCCATGCAAAGAACTGTCTTTGCTTCTTAATTAAGTGATGATTCTTCTATCTTCACCTTAGAGCAACAGTTTTCTGTTACAAGGGCGAATGCAGTTGTGTTATACTCTTGTCTCTGGAGTACCCATTAGCTTTTCCCCTTATGTTTTTAAACATTGCATCTTCCCTCTGATACTGTGTGTATACCAAGGATGTAGCCTGTGCTGTGCTGTGACCACC